GTCCCTACAGTTACTGAATTTGAATGTCAACGGCGAACGTCAAGTGAGGTGTTATGTTTATAAAGGCAACCTTTAAATTTCCCTATTTATCTCGAAAATATTTAATGGATAATTTTAATAAACTAGGATAGAACACGCCGAACATTGTCTGCAGTAATAAAATAAAATAAAGTTCCCGGTATAGAGGCGGTCCGGGGTGGTAAGCCTACAGGGCCTCCAATCTGAATTTGTAATATAATGTGTTCAAGGAACTCAGAACCTGTATATAAGAGGGATTTATTCCAAAAGTTATTATCGTAACCTTAAATTTTGCTTTGCTCACTTGGAAATAAGTATTTAACTAAGTATTCCTATTACCACCTACTTTCAGTGAAAATAAAAACGTTTCTGTAGGAGTCTTTGTTTATTTGGTTTTTTAATTTTGCAGTTTACATTCTTAAAAATCTTTCGAATTTTCTGTATTAAGTTCACAACTTAGAATGATTTAAGGGACTGTGGACTTGAATAAAAATGAAAAAGTTTTTCAAGTAGAATTTTTTGACTTTTTAAAAATGTATAAAAAGGGTCTTTTTATCAATAAATGTCTCACTTCGCTGTTTTAGTAGCTCCAATTCCTATATACACTTAAGCAGAGCTAAAAACTGTTTCATTATCACATCAATGGACACCCGACGACGCAAGTCGCAGAACCGATATTTAGACGAATGACGAAATACACAAAACAGGTAACTAAATCCCTTTATTTATAAAAGGATACCCACTACACAGTAGTGGGTAGGTATAACAGGATCGACGAGACCAGGAAGATCGATGAGACGACTGAGAAATGAACTAGAATATTAATATCCAGTTATCAGAAGGTATACCAAGACACAGTCAACAGGACCACGGGCCTAAGCTGGCACGGCTCAGGAAAAAGCAAAGGATTTTTTTTTAACAAAGCCATGATTACGTGCGATGACGTTGATTGGTATGCGTACAAGGATGCGAAATCTCACTACAATAGCCAATCAGGCCCTGGTGTAAGGGGTCATGGCAGAAATTCTGTACCGATATCGACTCCTGCTCAGTTGCAAACTAAGTTATGTTGGAAGAGAGATGGATGTTGACTGTCTCTTTTACACTTTTATCTAAATAAAAAAGCAAGAAGAAAATAAAGCCAAGGAGCTCTTTTACGTTGGCTCCAACTGGAGATTCTAGAAACTAGGAATTTTACTCGATTCGGAAACGTCGTCACATATGACTCACAAGAGAGTGGTTTAAAGGCTATAAGCTACTGTTATACCTTGGCATACATATATCTTGGCACAATTATATTGGAGCGATATTCTTCAAGTAAGCATTTTTATACATCTTAAATTTTTAAGTCCACATTCGCTTAGTCCAATAAATATATCGCTACCTCCGGAGAATAATATGACAAAAACGATTGTTATGTTTTTAGTGTTATTGCATTTTTGAGCTCCTCGTGGTCCAATACACCTTGTAAATTTTTTCCAGATATTTCCTACGAGTATTTGCAAAGATACAAAATATTAGCATAATATTCAACGAATTCAATGTTATTATTTATGCCTAGAACAACAATATTTAATACATTAGCAATATAAATATAACTGTTTAGGCAGACATTGTTACTTTATCATGTTATTCGCGTAAGAAAATCAGGCGCTTGTATTGATATATGCTATTAGCATGGTATTCTTGTACAAACACAACAGTTGAGATAGGTTTCTCCACCTGTTTGACAAATTTTTTTTATATGTAAGTAATAAATTTTTTTAGGTATGTTCATCAAACTTAATAATTACCTACAACCATCTACGATTATCTGTCACGATTTATTTCTTTTACGTTTTATCAACAATAAATACGTAAACAGACGTAAACTTATTACATCATTAAGTATTATAGACTAGGAGATCGTGAACGACAATGGCAATTTATAGTGCAACACACTTCAGCAGAACCTATAAAACGTATGACATTAGACCGCAAGAATAATATAATTCAAAGCGTAAAATAATATTTACCCATAAATAACACAAAATTACAAGTATGTAAAATATTTTTCAAAAATACATTGAATGTAACACATCAAACTATATATACTGCTTTAGAAAAAGCTCAATCTGCAGATGATTTTTATGACCAAAGAGGACGTCATAAAAATAAACTGCGGCGCATGACTACGTATACTGAAGATAGTATAAGAAAAATATTGAACCATTCCCCACAACTGAATCACATTATGTCAGAGAAAAATCCCAAAAACTGTACCTTTCATCATACTTAAATATTTCAAAAATGTATCGTTTTTATAAAGATTGATTCAAGAATCAAAATTACGATGAAGACATAGAGATGGGAACACTAAGACAATACCAAACTGTGTTTAATACTCAGTACAATTACTACTTTTTTGTGCCCAAAAAAAATTACGCGGTAAGTGTGAATTATACAAACAAGCTGATGATGACAAGAAACAATTGTTGCAAGAAGATTATGATAAACATATAAAAAACAAAGAAAGAGCTCGGAAACTGCAAGAGGAAGAAAAGAAGAACCTTGATCATAATAAAAGTACAGTTGCAAATTTCGATTTGGAGAAGGTGTTGAGTATACCGCAACCTCGGGTAGAAATATTCCACTACAAAAGGAAATATCCAATTTACAATTTTACTGTCTATAACTCAGTGCTCCGACAAGGATTCTGTTACGTGTGGCACTATCAATTAGCAAAAAGAATTGAAATTGGCAGTTGCTTGTTTTTGAACACTGAACATGAACGTGGCATTGAACATATTTCCTTTTATTCTGATGATTGTGCAGGCCAAAATAAGAATAAATCCATATTTGCTCTTTAAATTAAATATCACACATCGATTCTTTGAAACTGGACACGGGCAAAGTGAGATATACACCCCAAACCAAATGTATGATTTAATTCAAAATTCAAAGGCTACCGGCAATAAATTTATAGTTAAAGAAATGGAACAGTCCAATTTCTATGACATTAAAGTTCTTGTTGCGGGAAAACATTGGGTGCAAGATGTACAAGGCAATAAAATTTTATGGTCTAAAGTGATGGAAGTTAAGGTGTTAAGCAACGAACCAAAGATTTTACGCTATGACTATGATTTTGATAATGATTATTCCATTTTAAACACAGAAGTTTCATCAAGAGTTATGGGACGAGTCGGCCGTGGTCGAAAAACTGCAGCTTTGACTGCAATTGATGATGTTGAAGACTTAAAATGTGCTTACAGTAAACTGATTCCAGTTACTAAAGCTTTATACAACGATTTAAAGTTTGTGTTCATGTGAGGCTATACCTCGGCGCTATCATTCATTCTATACGTCTTTGATATCGATAGATCAAGAAGTATTATCATCAGAAGAGGAGGACGAATTACCCTAGTTATAAAAGTCCCATAGTTTGATTCCCATGATGATTGATCCAATTATAATTAATAAATCATAGTTTGATAATTTTCTTTTTAATTTAGAAGTTTTTGTTTTTAGTTTGATAATTAAAAAAAAATTTAGAAGTTTTTGTTTTATATTCATTAAGAGATTATTATTAGCCCTAGATATTTTTTTAAAATTACCCTGAATAACACTCTAATCGACTATTAGCACATACTCTCTCTCAGGTTATTTTACCAGAATAACAGGATAATAGTTTATTATTGTAAAACATTTTAAGTGTGATTTTACTAGAATAACATGACAATAGCGTATTATTTTAAAACATTTTTGGAAGGATTTTTGCTAATATTTATTTTTGTGACTTTTTCGATTCTTGTCAGTGCTTTTCCACGAAACATAATTCAAAACGTTACGCAAAAAAATTAGCTTTCATTTGATATATCATTCTTCTTGATAGCATTTCAAACAAAGGAGTTATTAAACAAAATCGGTTTTTTATTTTTCCTGAACATTTTAGTTTTTGCAGTTATCATATTATTCTCCGGAGGTAGCGATATTTTATGGAGATGATAATCTAAGTTATTGGTTACTTTATTTTTTACCTAACGCCGACTCTTATGTTTAGCTGGCGATCTTGACCTCGACCTTCGTTTAGAATTTGTCGTTGTTCTTCTACTTTTCGATTTGGAACTATTTGTTTTACTTCTACGATTGCTTTCACTTGAAGTATTGTTGGAGCGTCCTCTGGGAGATTTGATTTCTTTTTCAGGGGATTCTGACCATCTCCAAGAACACGATGTTCGTTGGACAGATTTCCTTAAAAAAATAAACAAATAGGCAACATTACAACTAGGAAATGCAATCTCACAAGATTGGGACTCGTGCGAGATCTCGCGAGATTGGCACTTTTGTGTGTTTACTGTAGTATTTATTCAAATCGAGTGATTTGTGAACAATATAACAGATAAATCTATTCAGAAACTAAACTTTGACGTATTTAATCAAATACGAAATGAAATAAACAACCAGTCTTCTCTGCTAATATCAAACAAAAGTTGAATTATCATACACAGATTTTTGTAACAAAAAAAAAACAAAAATTAAACTCATTATCTTAGTTGAATTGACTATTATGAAATGACGATGATGATTATCAATGAAAAAAACTATGTGTAGCTAGAGATCTATTGGAAATTAGAGCATAAATTAACAATATATACCAATCAATTAAAAGGCTTATTCAGTGTACTTCATACGTCATTATCACGAATAATTTTGAAAGTAGCTTATTAAGAAGCACAAAATGTCCAAATACTCTTTGCTATTCGTCTTATTATTGTGGCCAGATAATCAGCCACTGAGAAGACCCTGTCGAAAACACAAGTACTGTAAAAGTGTAAAACTTCGCCTTTTAAACCCCCGCACTCGCATTAATCTCGCTTAAAAAGGCCGAGATCTCGCGAGAACGAGATTGCATTCCCTAATCACAACAATTATCGCATAAGTAACTGGTATCATTCAGACTGACCGATATTTGCCTCGCTTAGATATTTAGTTTTTTATGCAGGTATATCGGTAAGTCATGTTAGCTGTTTTACTATACTTACGTTTTTTTTAAAATGAGGCATGTTTACTGACCTGATATGTTCAAATTTATAATCTTCATAAAACCTTCTAGGATTCCTAAATACATGTAAAAAATTACATGCGCGACCTTTTGGACAGCGCCTTCTTGATGCGAGCCCTAAAAAAGTTAAAAGTTATCTTTAAATATATTGAAGTCAAATGCTTATTTTAGAGTCAGGTGGATTTACAATAGCTTGTGCAAATAAGGGATTGGACAGCAATCAGATAAAAGTTAAATTGTGTTTGGTTGAAAATCCTTAAAAATAAAAATATAATTTTCTAATATTATTAACAGAAATACGTTAAACAAAACACAGATCACAGCGCATGATGTCATTCGTTGGCAAATTGGTAATAAAACTATCTAGCGAAAGCGCCGGAATCATTCAATGTGTAAATTAATTTAAATGATTTATAGAATGTTATCAGGTTATAAGTGTCATTTTTGTGGTTTTCTTTTTATTCATGAGTTTGAATATAAAAACAGCAAATGATGCGTCCACAAAATGCGTCATGTCTTCTAAAATAATATGTTTTGTGGATTTCTTGAAAGCATTTTCCTCTTACCATTAATTAGTGTATCAAACTTTTTAACGATTGACCCACTTACCACATATAGCATTTTTCCACGAATCGATAAAACAGAATTGTAGAGAGAGTTGTCTTCCACCATACCACCGGCAATGCAAAGATCTATAAGCTGCTAAGGCACAACGAAGCTCTGCGTACTCAACATACGTATTACCACGAAGATGTTTCTCGTAATTATTACATACCTGTAACATATGACAATCAAAATTAATCAAGTGATATTTTTTTACCTACTATAATATTGTATATTTTATGTTTGAATAGTATGTACAACTCTACTGTAACTGATCTCTTGTAAAATATTATACTATATTTCTTAATTTGCCTTTTTGTATAGTGGATATATGTATAACCAGGACAACAATGATCCTCGGTGAATAATACCTCGTAAATATATGTATGTATACACAATTACGTTTAATTATTAGAGACAGTACATTATTGCTTATTAAAACAGCATAAATTTTATTGTGGTAGCGTAACATTAAAATACAACGGAAGGGCGCGAAGAAATCAAACACAGTTTTCTCTCTATCAGAATCTTCAGCATAGGTACCTCTTGTTAGAACGAGATAAGAACGAACTTGCATAGCTTTACGAGTTAACTGCTACAGCCTCAAAGAACACGTTGTACGAAAAAATGGCCACGTTCAATAACGTTTTATTATATTAAAAAAGAGTAAGTACAGTACTTCGAAAGTAATGATATCTTTTTTGTATTTCTCATTGTCAATGTATAATTAGTGCATTATTTTAAAAGATAGGAAGGCATTTTTTTACAACTTGTCACAGAAAATTACGAGTGAAAATTACATTAGCCACAACGCTTGCTGAAACGTGATTTAAGTGAAACTCAGGCAATTGCCTTGCTTTTTTGTTGTTAATTTTGTGCGCAGATAACCAGTCTAAACTTTTAAATACATTATTGTGTATACATAAATAAAAATTTAACTATATGTAATATGTTAACTATATATTTGATGGTGAATTCGATAACGTTATACATACGTTTTTTTATTTTTATTGATGTATGTATAAGTGTGCAAAACATTCCATTTTTTTTTAATTAAAAAAGGTGTAATGGTTTCCATACCGTGATTAATAAAAAAGGGATAATTATACTGATGATACAAACCTGTCTTTAATCACTATTTGTAATATATCAGGAAACTAAGAAGCTGTGTCATCTGAAGTTATATCATGAGTAGAGGATCATGCAGTATAAAACATAGTAGAATCTCTCTACCAATACTTGATAACATATTATTAATATGTATTTAAAAGGATACATTCCACGCGGAATATACTTGAATATTCCCTAAAAGTGAATACGCTTTTAATCTCACCTTAAATTGAGTAACTCTACCAAATTTTTCAAATTCTGGCAAAACATCATTGAAAAACTCAAGAAACTCTTTTTGTGTATCACTATCTTCATATTCCAACATCACATCTGTATCATATTCACTGAAATTGGAGTTATTTAATCCAAAGTGAACATAAAAATTAGGCGCTAAGAGAACCTGGAACAAAATAACCTTATGAATATGACACTACTCAACAAACGATATGTCGAATTATTTACAAAAGAAATTTATTCACTGAAAATACTGTTTTAATATGTTACTATAAAATACTTAATAGTTTTTTTAAGTATTTTTAAAATAAATATCAAATGAAGTAGAAAGTGCTGCAAAAATGTTTTGAGGTAAGTGTTACCTCTAAGTATATCACATAAGTGCCTAAATTACAAAAAAAGAAAGTCGGTATCTTAAGGCTCTTCTTACACCTGGTCCGAGTGATGTAATTCAACAAACTGAAATAAGTCAGAAAACTTGCACCATTTTTCATGAGCTCTCTGTTTATCAACAATGTAAATTTAGCTAAAAACTTCAAATATAAATAACAAAAATTCACACAATAACTAAATTTAACTGTTAAAACATACATACATTACTAATACCAGGATACCGATGATTTCTTGAACATTGATCACCAAAACGGCAACAAGCAGTTTTTAAGAAAAATGGGCAATTGTCCACATTTGGTCTAGTTTCATGTGAAATAAGGAGTTCCGGAGGAGGCTCTGTCGAGTCACCAGCCAAAAACTGTTCTAATTTTGACATAAAAATCTGTTGCTGCTTCTTTTTTTCTTCTTCAATCTCCTTTAACTTTTCTTCTGCTTCTTTTTTTCTTTTCTGTTCTAATTCCCATTCCTACAACAAAAAATATTGCTATTCGGACAAACGTTTCTCTTAAACTGCATTAAAATCCATTGTGTGATTTAAAAGATCTCATCATACCGACAATGGTAAGCAACTTTGCTTAATAACATGTATAGATAACATTAATTACCAATTTTAATTTTGCTTCTTGTTGCAGATACTCTTGAAGTTGATGTCTTTTTCTCTCCTGAAGAATGTTCCACTGTTCCATGGTATTTTTTTCAGCTTCCATCCACTTCGCATGTTCTTGCATATTTGATTTTTCAATTTGGTCATATTCAAATTTCTCCAGATTATCTTGTTCCTTGAGCCATTTCTCATATTCTTGTGAGCATTCTTTTGCAAAATATTATTAATATTCGTCCAACCTCTAATTTAAATGAATATAAAATATTGCAAAATGTACCTTATTTTGGGGTAAATAGTTTTGAGTAACATACGTAATTTAAATTAATATAAAATTAGCTAAACGAAACATTGCAAAATGTATATTTTTTTGGCGCAAATAGTTTTATTTAATATAGATAGAACAATAGATGATAGAATTTATTACAATTTTTCCATTAATTATTTAATGGCATGTCTATGACCTCATTAAATATTTTGTCAGAAGTAATGGCACGTCAGGGCATAATTCATAGTTCACCATCCCTGACCTAAAAGCTCTCGGTCACCATAGATGAGTTTTCTAAAGTTCAAGTGTATAATTGAAAAAAAAAACTGACAATCATCTTTAAAATAGTAATATGGTCATTTTTAATAATTAAACATATGTGTTTTGGATAGTGATTGAGGATTTATAATTTCAAATATAATAAATAAGTTCAAATAATAAAACCAGACTACAATTTAGGCAAATCAACTATTTCTATTACTACTCATTAGTAATTGAAACTTCCATGAATGAATAATTGATTGAACATGAATATGATAACAAATTACTAATTTTTTTAAATATAGGTATGTAGGCATTACAATGAAATTAGACTGATATATGGCAAATGTGGCCTATTATAATGATCCTATTGTATTTAGTTTTGTGCATAGTTATTATTATTAACAACCAGCTTAAGATCTAGTGCTCTAATTTTCTTTACTAAAATGCCTTTGCCGGGCTTTTTACATGACATTTCACATGGCTAAAAATAAATTGCATTTTATTTTTGTTTGACAATAAAACATAAGGAACTATCAAAACTAGTAGAACAAAAATTGTTTATAATTATACACAACAACTTATACACAATAAAAACACTTTATACATAACGATGTGTACCTCTGATCCGGGCTTTTTGTATTCTAAATCTCCGTCTTCTTTCTCTCTTAGCTATTTTACGCCATTCTTTATGCCTGCAAGAAAACGCATTTCAAATATCCTAACTATACTAATCAAGGAGTAGCTCGGTGGCGTAGAGGATACGCACCGCGGCCCGCGATTGTAGTTGTTAAGCAACTTTCGCAAGGGTCAGTCACGGGATGGGTGACCAAAAAACTATTATCTCGAGCTACTTCGGCTTCGGAAGGCACGTTAAGCCGTTGGTCCAGGCTACATTTGCAATCGTTAATACCCTCCAATCCGCATTGGGCCATCGTGCAGGGTCATGGCCCATCCTCCTTAACCATTCAGCAGGAAGGCTTGAGCTCCTGCAGTGGTGACGCAAAAGGGCTGGTGATGATGATGATACTACTCAATCAAATAACACAAAGCTTTTTAGCAAAAACTCAACAAAATAATCTTAATGAAAAATGCTTAAAAAATCCACTTTGTCCCTGGTAATCTGCGAAAGGATTCGAACCATTCATAAAAAACTTATATAGTTATTCTGTTTTAGATATTAGAGAAAACAAACATGTTACAATAATACATTAATATTAAAAATCTTTATTCAATTTAACTCACTTTCTCTTTATAACAACGAACATGTTCATAAAATCAAATAGATTAATCACTACAAATTAAATACGTTTCTTGTTCACAGCAAATAAATCGCGAATATTTCAACCGAAATAAAAATAAATAAATCCGAAAAGTCTTTAAGAAGTAATTCCGTCCATGGGACAGCCGAAGGAACTAAGCTATACAGCCAGAAAAGTCTTTATCATAAATGTAGGTTGATAGGTATATATATTTTATTTTCAAAAAGGTTTTACCGACTCTTGCTTCCAGGGCCTTCAGCTTTGTCTTTATATTGAGATAATTTATATATATAGATCTGCAATAAATCTTGTAATAAGGAAGTATTTGAAAAAAAAAACGAAAGCACTAAAAAAGCACCTCAACTAGATGGCGACTCTAGCAAAAGTTGATTTTTGCAGGAAACGAATGGACCAAAGACAGACATTTCCGTTTCTTATATTATTTATAACGAACATATTAAAAAACTGAAATTTGAAAAGTTAAAAATACGAAAAAGTTTGAATAGAATATGAGTTGTTTACTGAGTTTTGAAAACTAATTTACTTTTAAACATGAAATAAAACCGGAAGGGTTGTCATGGGGATATCAAGAACGTATCGTAGCGACATCTAGTTTGATTTCGGGAACTAGTATTTTTTTTAATACTTCCTCATTACACATCTTTCACAGTTTTTTATAGTTATACCTATTAAAAACTGTAGTCCACAAAGGACGCTTAAACAAAACCGAGGGCTGATTTTTCGATTATCGATTATAATTTGATATATTGATTTATTTGAGTGTTGTGTATGATCTGTTTTATTTTGTATAATAGAAATACCTTTTCATCTCGAAATAGACTTAACAGTAAAAACAAGATTATTCGATTATATTCAATAAGAGTAAATATTTGAAAATAGCTTTGTAAACATATTTCTGATTAGATAATCAATGCGTAAAATGTTTAATGCTGGTTTGCCCTCCAAACACAATGTCTTTTTTATTTATGTATTGCTATGTATTTATTTTATCATTCAAAATCATAACATAATCGTGTTGAAGTTATCTATCATCCATCATTTAACACTGCGGCAGCGCTGTATTCGAAGTACAGATATACACAGTGCAGTAGCAAAGTAAGAGATTCAGTGAGAAAGTATTTTAAGAAAAAAAGGAAGCACCAAAAAGCACCTCCACTAGATGGCGACCCTAGCAAAAGTTGATTTTTGCAAGAAATTATTGGACCAAAGATAGTCATTTCCGTTCCTTTTAACTAACATATTAAAAAACTGAAATTTGAAAAGTTCAAACTTAGATACCTATCAATATAAATATGAAAAACCTGTTCAAAGGAGCTGAACCTTTTATGTAAAGTTTCGCATGTACTTACGTCGAACTGGTTCAAAAAATTTACCGGTTTTCAAGCCCTGCCACACAGTAGGCAAATCTGCAGGTATAGATATAACTCAACTGACATTCTAAATCTAAAGTCGTAATCAAGGATTCTTAATAGAATTTAATAATGAATATCTAAGCTTCTTGAATACTATACTATAAAAATACAGTATCTATATACTTTTGATACACGGATAGCTAGGAGATGCGGCCTTATATTACTTTGAATACATTTTCACTGGTTTTCGTGGTTTTCATAATTTTTTCACCAAACCATATTCTAAATTCTTTAATGTAGAATTGAAATCTTTGGTTTCCAAAGATATTTATTTACTTTTATTTAAATTATGTCTGTATATTCCAAAGATTTTTTAAATATTACGTGTGTGGCATATTTGCGGGTAGTTTCATAATCAATCAATCGTGTTTTGTAAGTTATTGTCAAAGAAAATTTAGACACTACGTTTAAATGCTATGATTTATTATAAAATCAAAGCAAAGCAAAAAGTTTAACCTCACCGCAATTAAAATGGAAATTAACCCTCTTAAAATTAAAACCTGTATTCTTAACAATAACGAAATTGAATTTACTGAATTATTAAACAATGGTTTAGACCCGAATTTAGGCGGTGGTTGGCCTATCAGATTAGCAGCACGTAATGGATGTCATTTGATAGTGAAATCTTTGTTGCAGCACGGTGCTAACCCTCATTTATTAAGTGATGCCGGTAAGATTTTTAATATTTACATTGATATGTACTATATTATTTTATTTTTTAATAATGTGTGTGTAAAGTATTTATAGTATTTAAGTATCCTAGTCACGTTACACCAGAATAATAATATCAAATGAAGTATTTAACTAAACAGAATGATTTAATATTGATATAGATAGATAGTATTGTTTTAATCAAGTCTTTGTGCTTGTATAACGACAGCTTTTTATTATAAATATCTTATGACAGGAGCATCTACACTTCAATTGGCCGTGTATTCCGGAGAAAGCTGGTGTGAGGGTAAATGGAATTTTTTACTGTCTTACTGTGACTCTTCGCAACTGGCTGATGGAGCTGCCGTTGCTATAATATTCCAAAATATTTTAGCATTAAAGAATATTTTGGCTACGCAACGATGCAACACAAATATTCCAACTACTTTAACTGGTAAAGATACAACTTACTTAAGAAAATGTAACCCGAGTATTATTTTTCATTAAGAATATTAGTATTAGAGTACTAGAACATTTTTCAAGGTGTCTATAGGACAGATTTCGAAGACAATTAACACGGACAATAAAAACCTTTAAGTTATCGAATTACGCATTAAATCCCTATCATAAATGAACATTATTTTATAATTTAAGAATTGATCAATGATTATTATTTTTGATAAATTTTGTATTCATATTGCTTTACTGATAAATTTATTAATGAAAAATGCTTATAGGTACAGTCAACTGTAAGTCAGGCTTTACAAAACTGTCTAATTTTCCCACTCAAGATTAAACCTTAATTTATAGAGGATAGAGGTCAAAATCCATCGCATAAATTGGCATATAATGGCGCTGCCGCTGCACCTATGTCGCTGTGCTAACACTAAAATTGGAACGATGGTATTATTTATAAACAAAAATAAGCATTATTATTATTCCATGTAATATTTTAGGCAAAACGGTGGAAGAATTAGCAAAAGGCTATAAACTGCATCATTTTTTAACTTCTTCAGACGTCCAAAGCCAGAATAATACTACACCGCCACAGTCCCCGAGGTGTTCCAGGCAAACTTTGTTGGTAATACATCATTATTTGTTGAAGCAGTCTTGAAAAAACAGAGTTATATTGTTATACTTAATTAGGTACTTATTTTCCAATATATATGTCACAGCCAACTGGTTAAAATAGCCGTTCAATTGGGCGGCTATCCTAAAAAAAGTGCTTATTTATAAGCCGCCGAAACGTTCATTTACTTTTGTTATCTGTAAAAAAGAAGTAACCTCGAAATTTCTAACATATCACGTGACCTACAGGACCAAAATAACTACGGAAAATAACTACGTTGTCTATCATTTAATGTTGATAAACTATTGTAGCACCAAATTTCGAAATCGTAATGAACATAGTATAACGATCGCAGCTAAATATATTGCTTACTCTTGTTTCGATGTGGTCTGAATCGCGATATATCTTGTCTCTGTATAATTGTATTTGTATTAAGATTTTATTATGAAAGTTTAAGCTTAACCCTCATTATTGGTGTATACGTTAGCTTGCTGTATTGGATCATACGGACTATCAACACTCAGTCGCGAACGAACAGTTTGTTATGATCTTTTTGATCCGCCCTGCTATTCTATAAAAATCCAAACCCCGAATTCGAATTCACTCAGGTGTCCGAATTCATTTCGAAAACGGGATCCATTCAATTTGCGGCATAAGTGAGTTTCGAAATGACATAGGAAATAGAATATCTGGGACAAGTATAATCAATCAATTTGGTATTGTATTTTTGTATAAAACATGGAATCCATAAAAAGTTATTTAGCCTTGAGTTCGAACACATGAGTGAATTCGAATTCGGGTTCGGATTTTCACAGAATAGCCCTGCAGTCTTGTAGTACCTGTATTGATTACAGATCGTAAAGTTTTGAATTTTAAATAAAATCACCCACTACAATATTTTATTTGTTTCACATCTAATCCTGCCAATAAATTTCGGTATTCCGATGAATTGACAGTTAATTAGTTAGCTGACCTTTGTTCAGCCGTATTGCAGAACGTTGATGTCAACTACTCTGATGATCAAAAGTAAGCTCTTTAATTGAGTGGCATCATTGCATCATTCATTAGGCTTTAATTGAATGGCATCATTCAATTAAAAAAAAAGAAAGCACCAATAAAGCACCTCCACTAGATGGCGACTCTAGCAAAAATTGTTTTTGCAGAAAACTAATGGACCAAAGCTAGTCATTACCGTTCCTTTAAACTAATATTTAAAATACTGAAATTTTGGAAAAGTTCGAATCTTAGATACCTATCAATACAAATAGGAAAAAGTACAAATTCACTGGACCGCAAAGAAAACGGGTCGGTTAGAAAATCTTCAATAACTTGAAAACTACCTCACCTAGCTTTATGAAATAAAAACTCAATTAAAGAATATTTAATGTTATTTAACATAGTATATAAAACCTTTTTATTTACTTTAGATAATTGTGTAAGAAAACTGGCAATGAAGATAATGGTTGTTTTTCAATTTAGTTCTAAAAAAATCAAAGCATTTGTTTCGCATTTGTTTTAGTTTTGACATAAAAACTACAATAAATATCGTGTGTTTGTCATACAAAAATTGTATTCTGAAGTCATCATGTCGTTAACCTCTGAAGAATGCACCAGGATCCTGACAATGCTTGAAGATGGGCGCAGTCAGCGCAATACAGCGAGAACTGTTGGTGTGAGTCTTTCCACAGTTCAGCGGGTATTCCAGCGTTTCCATGAAACTGGATCCAACCTAAGAAGACCAGGAACAGGCCGAACGAGGTGCACGACTGCGCAGGAGGATCGCTATATGGTGTCAACAATTTTGAGAAATCGATTTCTTACGGCCGTTGAGGTAAAAAATCACCATTTACGAGCTGGAGGAAACTATCTGAGTACAGATACAGTAAGGCGACGTCTGGCTGAAGCAAATTTGAGACCATTAAGGCCTGCAAATGGCCCAAAATTAGAAAGACACCACTTAAACTCAAGGCTCAGTTATAGCAGAGAACACGAAACTTGGACTCTGGATGACTGGTCAAGAGTTATGTTTTCAAACGAGTCTAGATTCTGTTTATACAAGCACGATGGGAGGAAAAGAGTGTACCGAAGACCGGGAGAGCGCTATAACCAAGCTTGTATAGAAGAAAAAGTACCATATGGCGGTGGCTCTATACACGTGTGGGCTGGGATTTCTTCCGAAAGCCGTACTGAGCTAGTAGTGATAGAAAATGGCAGTTTAACAGCAGAACGATATGTGAATGAAATTCTTAATGACTATGTTGGTCCATTTTTAGTAGATATGGGCGAAAATGCTGTTTTTATGCAAGACAACGCCCGCCCGCATACAGCTCAGATAGTGTTCGACTATTTTCACGAAGTAGGTATCACATGCATGGAGTGGCCAGCACGAAGCCCCGACTTAAACCCCATCGAACATGCATGGGACGAACTGGGACGACGTGTACGTCAACGGAATCCGCCGCCAATCACGCTGCGTGAATTGAAAGGAGCTTTGATCGAGGATTGGCAGAACATTCCACAGCATCGCCTTAAAAACCTTGTGGAAGGTATGCCGAATCGCATAGCCGCAGTTTTGCAAGCTCGTGGAGGCAACACGAAATACTAACATGCGTAAAAACGTCACATCTTTATACAATTCATATTTACGAAAATGTCAGAAAAACAACCTTTTTCATTCGTTTGACATTTATTGAAAATAGACAACTTTTAATTTGTATTTTTTTATATTCAATAAATTACAATTAAATAATCTTTAATTTAGTTTTTATTTCATAAAAATAAGTTAAGTAGTTTTCAAGATATTGACGATTTTCTAACCGACCCGTTTTCTTTGCGGTCCAGTGTAGAATATGAGTTGTTTATTGAGTTTTGAAAACTAATTTACTTTTATACATGAAAGAAAACCGACATCTAGTTTGATTTCGGGATCTAATGTTTTTTTTTAAATACTTCCTTATTTAGTATAACATTGGTCGCCAGATTATACCACTTGGCTGCGACATATATCTTCGTTGTTTACAATATTTAGATATTTATACCCAAATATAAAGTATCAAACCGGGCCCGTGATTTTTTTATTAAAATAAAAACATTTTACATTTACGTTGATTATGTGTTCATTCTTAAATTAAATTCTTAATATTAGTTTAATTGGTTAACTAAGTTTTCGTAAGCTAACTTTTATTTTGTCTGAGAAGATAGGTACCCAATATTACTTAATTCGATATGTTAATTACTATCTTTTGCGAATTTGTGTTTACTCACTTGTATATTGCTGAAGATGTTAAAACCAAAAGTAACATATTCTAAGTTGCCGCCACAATTAATTTTCCAAATTTTGTTTTGTTTGATCGTGTCGGAAACTCAATCGATGGATGAGACAGAAATTACATAAAGAACAGACATATGTACCATATTTTTTACATGAGATTTATTTAACAGGAAACAAGGAGAGCCTGCACTTTGCGTCCGCATCATGTGCTTAGAAACTTATCACCTTCTGTTGCCAGATTTTTTCACCAAACCGCAAATCAAACTTCACTGACATCGCCTGGAAGTGCTATGATTTTATTATCGCCGACCAATGACCAAGCTACAGCCTAATAATAGTTTAACATAGGACTAACCATCTCTTTTATTATCATTTCATGTGGAGAGTGGAGATATATGAGTGTACTGCGAGTGGGATCACAAGGTTTTTGCTCCGTTGTGTGTGCCCATTACTTTTTTCCTTAATTAACCGGGACCGAAAACGCGTATTTTTAACATAAGACAAAGTTCTGCCACACTATGTATAAGTACAAACATGTTCATACTACTCGGTAACAAAAAGTACTAGAGTAGCAGAATTCTATAGGATCTTGATATTTAAATTATTTCCAGCTTCACGGTAAGTTTTTATACACTTTATTTACTGTGTATAGTACGGACTTTTAGAAGACTAAACGAGTGTGTTATTATTTTAAACAACTTAATAACTATTTTACTTTAATTTTATACAATGTTCACACTTTACTCCTTTCAAAACAAAGTTCTGCTACTCCCATATTTTTTCTATTTCTTTCATAGTGATGGTAGGAAGACCCGATCTAAAGAATTAATAACAATAAGCAAATTAGCTATTAGCGACAATGTAGCTATTTTTCCTATTGTCCTAGAGGTTTATCATCTATCTAACATTTATTCTTTGCTTTAGTCCCAGTTTCCCGAGGAAAAATATTATAATTTTTCAATCGGGCAAGGCCGTCCGTGGTCCGTCTCCTGACTGCTCACATGCATTACTAATGTAATAGATTTGACGTACTAAGAGTAAAAAAATATTTGTTCTGTGACTTAATTTACATATTAGTTAATTTTGCTTCAACAATTACATATTAGATAATTTACATATTAGTTAATTTTGCTTCAACAATTTACAAACTTTATGTAGTACTTAGGAGTGTAACAGTGTGGTTGAGGTTTACAATACGTGGAATCACAGTTTTATTTTCATTCATGGGAATAACAAGAAAGAGTGAATTATTTTTGTATTCTTATTGAGGAATCCAAACACAGGTCAAACGCACTGTTACAGTTCCAATGTATTAAATGATTGATGTTTAACGAAGTTAACTGTTCATAAGTTTGGTCAAAAATTACCTACTTAATCGAAATAACAACAACCAAAATAGATGTATTGTATGTATATAGCTAACGAGAATAATGTATTTGTTATTAAATTATGTTATGATTATAATAATGACTAAGTATTACAATTAAAACAATTTAATCAGACAGCATATTTTATTGGTCTTATATAACTCTATTGCTTATTACTAATTTACTTTAAAAAATAAGTACTATTTGTCAATTAACTACCAAAAGTATCTGTAATTCCGACCTTCAAAATCACTTATTGTTTATAAATTCCGAGTAAACAATTAAGACCCCAAGGAGTAGTCTATCTATCGATCACTTCGAGAATCCCTAATTTTAAGTTATTCAAAGATTGTCTATAAATAAATATGTCCACAGAGATTTGCTCAAGATAATAAAGACGAAAATCTCATTTTAATGTTTTTATTTTAGATCGGTGTAGCGAGATTAAAAATGTTAATTCCTAACTTTGCTATGCTGTTGACTATCGGCACCATGCGTAATATCATTGATATACGTCTGAGATGGAGTGCATAGACTTATTGCTTGCGTTTCAAATAGCATTTCATTCGGTTGCTGTAAATAAAATTACTAAAATCAATATCAGTATAATATATTTACGTATGATACATTTAGAAAATATCCATGGCGGATATCGTCTTTGTACCTAACTGAATTAATACGAGATTTATTACATTAGCTCCCTACTATACTCCATTCAATATAGCGTTAGACAGAAGTTAAATAAGGTTCTTTTTATGGTATACTTTGTGACAAAATATAAATAATCATGTTACTCTTAAGACTGACGGCTAATTTCCAACATATCCACTTAAATACCAGCTGCTATACTTAACTGTTGGCATTTAGGCTATCTATTAAACAAATTTATGAGTATATGACTAACTTAAATGTTTTAATAACTTTTACAACAAAAAGTGTTCATCGTAAAGAACCTAAAGAAACAGGGTTGGATAGTTTCGGCACGATTCTCATGTCACTATAACTCTACCAAATTTAAAACTTTGCCTAACCCCTTCAAACGTTTCGGCAGTACAGCTTTTTAATTTTGTCAGACTATTATTTATTCATAATTGTTAAAATCGTAATCTGGGATTGTCATCCATTGTGAATGCTACTGCCTTTCTTGTTGTTTTGCCGTTTTCCGTGATTCAGTTGTTATTGTTTTTTTTTTGGTGTTAAGTTTTGTTAAATATAGACGATGCCAGTGCAGGCCCGAGTGGCCTAAAAAATTACACTCTAAGCCCCCATACCTACCCTCCTACCTTTGACATTTCAGGAAGCTTTTCCAATGTCTTCATCAATACTCTAACTAATAACACTTACAATTAGAATTTATCAAAACAACAGACAGATAGTTTCAGTTTTAGTTCCATGTTGGCTTCGGAGTAAAAGATGAATTTATAAAATGCTGGCCTCATCTCAACCCCGAGGTATCGTAAAAAATGGAAAATTGCCCAGCTCTTTCAGACTACCTAACGTTCAAAATTTTAACAAAACTAATATATATTTTTAAAATTATCTTGAAAATAAAATGTTCTGTACTGCTGCTTCTACGGCCCTCTTTTTTCTAATATTATAATGAATGGAGTATAGGTATATTAAACAAAATCAATGGTTTTATTTCTTGATTGATTTCCTACACACAGATATTATAATACTATAGTTTGATACACTTAGGTATTTATATAGGTAATAAGATATTTCATTTTCTTCAGTTACTTACATAATTGCTGTCATAATTCTGCTGAATTATTAATGGTGTCCCAAGAATATTTGACATTTTATTTTTTAAAGAATTTATAAACCTGTTTAAAATGTTCCGCTGAAAACAGTAATCTTTGGAAGTCTAAATATATAAACAAAATGTAAACTTATACAAATGTACTCAATGATGGATGTAAACGTTTAAAACGTCATCTCATCACAATGAGGAAGTATTCAAAAAAATACGAAAGCACTAAAAAAGCACGTGCACTAGATATCTAGCAAAAGTTGATTTTTACAGGAAACGAATGGACTAAAGATAGTTTCCGTTCCTTTTAACTAACATATTAAAAAACTGAAATATAAAAAGTTCAGAACTTAGATATCAATACAAATACGAAAAGTACAAATAGAATATGAGTTTTTTATTGAGTTTTGAAAACTCATTTACTTTATAAAATGAAAGAAAACCGGAAAGGTTGTCATGGAGAAATCAAGAACGTACCGTCACGTACCGTAGGTAGCGACATCTAGTTTGATTTCGGGAACTATTTAATTTTTAAATACTTGTTCATTTACAAGTATACTCAGAGGCGGATTTGCCATTAAGCACTAATATTAACCGCTCCTATTTTGCTCCTTATAATAAGGCACTTGCATATTATGAATTTCCTTTCTTTACAACGTTTACTTATTGAAAGAGATTCACTTGAGTTACCACGTCTACTTATGTTAATCTCGTGAATTTTTATTTATAATTTGTTATTACTAACATCTATAGGGCGTCAGTGTAGAATAGACATGCAATAAGATTACATTGCATCTGACATATAAAATAATTTAGTGATACCAGACGTTATGCCATGTAACTTATATGAGGTTGTTTTATTACCATTCTTATGCCATTATTGGCCGCCTACACAGATAACCTTCGCCCCTATTATATGCGGCCCTAAGCTTGGGCTTACCGTACTGTGGCCTAAGGGTAACGCCACTAAGTAAACTGTAAATTACTGTTGGAAAATTATACCGACCTCTTCAGATTTCATAACTGGGATCACAATAGGAAAGTTCCTTGTGACACAAATTTTAGGATAGGTCAGTGGCTCACCGCGCCAAAATCTTATTAAGCAATACGAAGCGGCGTCGTTGTCTGGCAATCTGTAGCCATGCTTTTGTAAAAATAATACTTGATTTAATATAGTTGAACTATGTCGTTTCTTATGAATAAGTATTGATTAGTAGGTATTGTTATTGTAAATGTTGGTAATATATTTGACTGAAACTTATAAGTACAATATAGAAATCAGGTTTTAAAGTAGTTTTTCGTTATCTCAAGAGTTGGTTCAGCAAAGCAATTCTGTAAAAATCCAAATCCGAATTCACTTCAAAAAGCGGCATCCGATTAACCTTAAATTGGTGGTAACGTTTCGTGGCATAATTGAAATGAGTTTCGAAATTATATAGAAATATGTAGAATAACTGAGACACGTATATTCAATTAATTTTATTTTGTATTTTATACAAAAAATAGATTCAATAGAAAATATATACTAAATGACGTATATTTGGATAAGAACAAGTAGCTCGGTGGCGTAGTGGATAAGCGCCGCGGCCCGCGATCGTTAAGCAACTTTCGCAAGGGTCGGTCACGGGATGGGTGACCAAAAAATTATTATCTCGAGCTACTTCGTGCTTCGGAAGACACGTTAAGCCGTTGGTCCCGGCTGCATTTGCAGTCGTTAATACCCTCCAATCCGCATTGGGCCAGCGTCATGGCCCATCCTCCTTAACCACCCATAAGGAAGGCCTGAGCCCCTGCAGTGGGGACGTAAAAGGGCTGGTGATGATGATGATTTGGACACATGAGTGAATTCGAATTCGGGTCTGGATTTTTACAGGATCGCAGGGGTGTTCATAGATTTATCAATTGACGTGGTCTCCGTAGCCGAGTGGTGCGTATGCCGGGATCAAATCTCTCAGGGCCCGGGTTCGAATCCTGGTCGGGTCAATGTAGAAAATGAACTTTTCTTTATTGTCTTGGGTCTGGGTGTTGTGGCACCTTCGTTGTCTTAGATACTCCATGATACTGGGGCTTTAGCTACTCATCTTGGAATCTGAGCAATGTATGCGATGTTGTTTAATATTACATATGGTATAAAACAAAGTCGCTTTCCGCCTGTCTGTCTCTGTGTTGGTATGTTTAAATCTTTAAAACTACGCAACAGCTTTTGATGTGTTTTTTTAAATAATCTCATGTACAGTTAGATTACTTCACTTACATGATTTTATGTTTAATTAACAATCTATTTGACTTACAATATTTTTCCAGTGACGTCGTAAATCTTTATACGACTTAAAAATGCTATACTTATGACTTAAGTCACAACTCTCTTCAACTATTGCTTTATTCAAACTGAAATTCAAAAAAACCGATTAGAACATTATTGACTAACTGTCTTGCCGTGTCTTCGCTCTAGCCGCGTATGTTGTAGCTTCCCATCGGTGAAATATTTTTTAAAATAGGTTCAGTAGTTTCACAGTTTATTTAGAGCACACAAACAAACATTCAAATCCTTTAAATCTCATAATTTATAATATTAGTATAGATGTTATGAAACACATGTTAAATTAGGGTATTATTCGTAATGCCCGCGCATGCTGAATAATGACATGCTAGGGCAAAATAGAAAATTATTTAAATTTCCTCATCACATTACCCTGATATTATGAATATTGCATTGTGGTGATCGGGTAAACTGCTAAAAACACATATGTTTATAGCACGGAGCGTGGAGAGGAAATAAACAGGAAAGGACAACAGTTGATTTTACGAAAGAGACTCGTTATTATGAAACACAGGCATTTAAATCTATAAAGTTAACATATCACGTTAACTATTTTATAGGTCATCTGTTTTCTATGTTTTCATGTGATTTACAGGGATAAATCAATTTCCACTTTTCAATGAAGTATGACCTAAGTTATATCTCTTTTATATCTTCTTCATCAATAAAAAGACGAAGGATTACTTATTGTCTTTGGGAATAAAACCAATTTTTGTTTAAAACTCTAAGCTTATTGTACAGCTATACCTACTATACCTATTTAGGTACTATTGAAATAAAAATAGTGCCGTAATAAAATCTCATTACATTTGTTTCGCTCGATGCCGAGAAGCCAAATATTTATATTAGGTCCATTAATTTTATAGTTTTTATCACATTGCCCTCTGACACTGGACATTTTCGTAGTGCGCGGGCATTATCCATAATACCTGATTTTCTATAATACCTTGGCCCATGACATAGACATCTCGTTTCTATCATGCTTTATTCAGAGGGGGGACCTCAACTTTATCATCCGCCTCCTGACTTGAAGGATCCAGCCTTCGCTCTTGTCGGTGTTTCTTTTAAGTAATACGATATTTAGCTCAAAACTTAAAACAACTTTTATAACTCATTATAATAATTACCTCGGTAAAACTCTTACGTATTCCCCTGGCAAAAAATCATCATTTGATCTGATAAGATTTATCTTCACAGGTTTCACTTTCAATGTAGTCACATGCTCTGAAATAATAGGGCCCGATAAAAACTTTCTATTAAACTATACCTCGTGTGTTTATAAGTCTTGAGACAAATAGTTTTTTACTTAAAATTAAATAAAATGTTACTGGCTGTTATTTTTTTACCGGTTTTGAATTTCGATGGAGGAAACGAAACAATTACGAAGGCGGGAAAATCACCGATGCAGATTTTGTGCGAGCTGAAAAGTTTTCCTGTGAAACTTGGTCTATTATATACACAATACAGCGGTACAAAGAGACAAGTTCTCTGCAAGATCGCCAAAGGAGAGGTCGGCCACGCTCTGTGAGGACGCCTGCGAACATTAAAATCATCCGGGAGCAACTTCGCCGAAATCCATGTCACACTTAGACGAAATTCACTCTGCAAACTAATATTTCGCGCGTTTCAATGAACAGAATACTGAAATGATCTTAGGGTGAAGGCCTATAGCCGTAGAAAAGTTCATTTTTTAAACGATCGTCTTCGTAAGTTACGACGCGAACGTTGCCCATTGCTGCTGAGGAGGCATGATGCCAGGAAGATACTCTTCAAAATAAAGCGTACGCTAAAAGTAGCAAGGATGTCCCAGCTTCTGCACGGAATGTCTCGGGCACTCATTATCCAGCACGTGAGATGGTATTGTGAGGAGTTTCCATTTCTGCCACCAATGTATCAAGGTAAAAGCCAAGAGATATCAGAGTGACATTTTAGAGCCCGTGGTGAAACCCCTGTCTGATGCGTTATTTCAAAATAAGGATTGGGTTTCTCAGCAAGACTGCGCCATAACATAAGATAAAAAGCACCCAAGTTTGATTGAGGGAGAATGTGGCCCTCCTCCAGCCCCGACCTCAACCCGCTGGATTATTCTTTATGGACTAAATTAGAGCTCAGGGCCTGTCGAAAGTCCTACACAAACTTGGAGTCAGTGAAGCGAATCCTTGTTTGAGAAGCAAAGTGAATTCCGCTAGAAAAGATTCGTGCCGCCATTGATGACTGGCCAAATCGTCTAAGGGGCTGTATTAAAAACAAGGACGGTCATTTTGAATAAAATATGAACATTTTAGAAATATAAGTTAATTACTAAAAATGAAACTGGTACGCACACTGATATTCTCAATCTTCTTGTACGCATCTGAATCCCGGACAATTCGTTTTATAGACAGTAAAAGGTCGAAAACTTTGAAACATGATGTTGCCAAAGGATACTCCGAATGCCGTGAACAGATTAATACCAGACTGTCTATAATCTGTTATTATCACTGAGTATCTTGGCTAGTTTGGCCACTCAGCTCGGAGGCAACTAGATAGTCTAGATAAACTGGTCGTGGTTGGCAAGTTAAATGGAAGGAGAGCACGGGGGCGATCACCGACTTCCTTTGATTCCTCTAACTATTTCAACGAAGATATTCAGATATAAAACAAATAAATAAATAGTTTGTAGCATTCGCCTTTTTAGGATGACCGCATAGAATAAGAATTAACAAAGAAATTAAAAGAATGAGCTTTTACTACCATTTGTTATAATGTGATATTTGATTCCTTCTTGTGGTTCTTTTGCTATGAGGAAGTCTCTATTATTTACGAGATAGTCCATACCCAATACATTCCATATTGGAGCCAGTCTTGCTGTCAATGTATATTGGAAGGACATTTTATAAATCTCGGGAATTACTGGAGCTATGGTACCATCCTTTGAATAATAGAAAAACGATTTATATTATTAAGTACAATGTAACCACCGCTTAAACGGAAATTAACAGCTAGGTAACAAAATTTCTGTTATCCAGGGAAAAATTAAAACAGTATTTTTTACCACAAGTGTTTAACGCGCCTAGTCTGCGATGTGAACATTCGCAAGAATCGGTCAGCATAGGATAGGTGACCAAAACTTTATTATCTTGAGCTCCTCTGTGCTTTAGTAGGTACGTTAAACCGTTGGTCCCAGTTGCTTCTGCCGTCGTTAACAGCCATCATTCCGCACTGTGCCCGCGTGATGGGTTATACAAAGTCCATTCTCACTTTTCGATTTCATCCACAGGCAAAGCCTGTATCCCAGCAGGCCCATTAATATCCTCAACTGTGAACATTAATAGGTTGATGATGATAATATCTAAATACGTAAAGAAGGACAACTTACTTGCTCTAATGAAAACTTCAAAAGTAATGACATTAACTTGTCATAATTATCACCAAACTTATTAAAAATGACATGAATTTTCTTCACCTCTTGTTTATCAGGACAAGCCAAAACTGCTGGATTCGAGAATATTAACATTCTGGAAACATATGTAAATAAAGCGTCGGTGCACATAGATGATACAAGGAGGGGAAGAAAGAAATTGTAGGCCTGGTGGCTGGACGTCATGCCATGATTATTTTTGATGTTAGACATGAAACTTTACCTATTTGTGGGCTAAAAGCTATGAATTGTGTGGTACTCAAAAAGTCAGTACCACACAATTCATAGCTTTTGTAAAAATTTTATACCGAAGGGCGAACAAGTAAAAAATAAAAAAATCTGTATTCTACGAGTTAAGCCCCTTGATTTGATTAATACCTATATTGGGTGGGTTGTTCAGAAATAAGTATGTACATGTGGCAGCCAAGTTGTATAATCAGCCGACCAAATGGGCAGCTTCTCAATACATCTATGAGAATATAATGTACACAAGAAAACATTACGATTCCTTCACAAAAAAAGTAGTGTTCATAATCTTAACACAAGAAATAAAAATAAACTTGCCGTTCCAAGCTTCAGACTTCAAAAAACCAGAGGATCATTTCTGGGTAAATGTATTGCTATGTTCCATAAAGTTCCACAAAATGTAATTGACCTACCCATAAATAAATTTCAAATTCATGTAAAGAATATACTTATGAGTAAAGGCTATTATAAAGTTGATGATTATTTTAAGGATCGCAATGCATGGAATTAATAGCCTTCGCTTTGTTCTATAAAGACTAATTATATGTTCAACCTATGTCCTACAGACTTTGAAAATTGTATTTATTATTGTGATAATACATATTATTTTGGTAATGACATGATTTATGTAAATGACATTACTTATGATTATGATAAAAAGCTGGTAAGTTTCTTTCGCTTGTTCTTCTTGTCAGCTAAAAGACGTCCTGAACAAGTGGTAGGGGAAAAAAAATTTTTTTTGGACCATTCAAAAGTGCTTGTAATAACCTACTTGAATAAAGATATTTTCATTTCATTTCATTTCTATTCTTTTATTAAATGGCTTCATTCTATTAACGGGCTGTCTTTCGATAAGCTGAGTAGCAAAACGCAACATTCTACAATACGACTAAACAAAGGTCAGCCCACTATTGAAATATCAATTTATCCTTAATATCGATATTTATTGGTAGGACTAGAAGTAAAATAAAATACATACCTATTGTAGTTGGTGATTTTATATCCCAGTTGTAAGGGCTTTTATCTATTCTTTACAAACAGTTTGTTGTACATTATAAATATAAGTTTTTACCTGCATTTCAATATTTTCCAATGATAATCTGATGGTGCTGATCTGTCGTGCTTATCTTGTAAGTTAGCTACAGCTTTTATGTAACCCATATCGATGAGACAAGGATTTTTAACATTAACGTGGTAATACATTTTAAAAAATTCTATAAGTTTGGATTGCTAATCAAAAACTTCACTTTTAAGGCAAGAAGTGCAACTATTTATTTATGTAGATAATAAAAACTAAATTAATTTTGCTACGTAGTAGACGTAATTTAGCTATAATGTACGTTAGTTGGCGCCAATTTTATTTTCTTTTTGAGCCAAGGATTAGATGACCATGCAGTCTTAGACTTGGTATTGTTTTTTTTTATTCTTCCATAACTGAAGTTTTGTAAAAAAATATTGATATTATTTCAATAAATAAAAACATTTACATCCGCTTATTTTCCAGTATCGAATTTGAGTTTTATCCAATTACAGTTTAGTAGGTACACTTGGGAAATATGAATTAAATAGTTATCCTATAATGTTTTACCAACTTCATGATAGCTCAATTTTTAGCAAAGCGTAGCGACCACAGAACGCAGAAAAGAGGTTAGAGTGGCGATCATGCATTCTTTGTACGAAAACCAACCAATATCGCCAGTCTTGCCCCACTTTTCGTCCGCTATACATCAGACGAAATATCAGACCAATGAGGAAGTATTTAAAAAAAAAACATTAGTTCCCTTTTCAAATTTCAGTTTTTTATTATGTTATATAGTTAATAGGTTGGTCCATTCGTTTTCTGCAAAAATCAACTTTTGCTAGAGTCGCTATGTGCTTTTATAGTGCTTTCTTTTTTTTTAATACTTCCTCATCATAGAGAAGTTATGCACACACTTGCATTTTAAACATGCCAATCAGAACGCTTCAATATAAAGCTCAACCGTAATATCTAGAAGTATCTCACAGAACACAGATAGATGTTAGAAGTGGCAGTGTAGCCATGATCCTGGACAAATATACAGGATCGTGACTTCACCATGCGATTGTGATATTTATTGTTTAGTCATTCACGAACGCGCGCACTGTAAGTACTGTGAAAAACGCCACTAAAAGTGTTAAAAATGCCAGCGTGCGCGGTTATTAATTGCAAAACGAGAAGCCAATCCTCAAGTAGGTTCAAAGAAGGGAATTCTTTTTATAAGTAAGTAGAAAACTTCTCAAATTTAGTATTCTATGTTTTATTGTATGTATGAAGAGAACGTAGGTACTCTCTATTATAATCTGTCGTCGTCCAACATTAAACATTCTTTTTTTTGATATTATGAATATTGCATAGTGGTGATCGGGTAAACTGCTAAAAACACATATGTTTATAGCACGGAGCGTGGAGAGGAAATAAACAGGAAAGGACAACAGTTGATTTTACGAAAGAGACTCGTTATTATGAAACACATGAATTTAAATCTATAAAGTTAACAAATCGAGTCAAATCTATAAAGGTTGGTTAAAAGTAAAACGACATTATTTTCTATTTTCACATAATTATATATTTTGGCAAATATAGACAGATTATCATATGTCATTATATCTAACTAAAAAACTGTACATTTTTTTTTATAATAAAGAAGGTATTCAAACAACAGAACAAAATAAGGTAGTTTACTAGACCAATAATAACAATTAAGATTTATTAAATTATAGTGCAGCGTTTCCTAATCATTAGTCGCGGGCATGTTGGGATGTTCAGTTTAAATTTTTCCTACAATCAATTTCAAGTCTATCGTGTGCCATTTATTCAAAACATTATTGTGGTACAACCTGGGCCCGATCTAAGGGGAAGTAAGCCGGACAAATGTTCAGAGCGTCAAAAACAAGGGGCAATTTGCCTGCAAAACTAAGGGTACAGGAAAGTGAGATGGAATTTTTAATTACCATTCTAAGAAAGATTTCTAAAATTTCCTAGCCAGAAAAAAAATATTTATCGAGTTAGTAAAATTGTTCAGAAACCCCAGTAGATCATATTAGAATATAACGTTATTCCAGTAATATCACTAAACATTCCATTCCCATCTTAAGAATAGAAAGCTTCATGACTTAAATGTTTAATAGTGGCTACTTATTAGTGTAAAGGACGGCGAATATTATTTTTCCTGGAGCAGCTTAATAGGTACATCTGCCCTGAATAGAAAACCTATGTTATCTAACGTAATACAAAATATTAAACAACTAAGCTTAATTTTATGTGAGTGGACATTTCAGGAAGTGTCTGTATTCAGTTCCTATGTTTGTTCTACACAGTTGAACATTCCATTTATAATTGTCGTTCTTCCTTCTATCTTACATGTAATACGAAGACCAGTTAAATTCTACATATTTTGTCTTCATTGGTTTTGATTTTCAAGTTGATCTCGTGCTTTACGTAGTACTCCCTGAGTTTTATGAATTTCACGACAAATTGCTCGCTGAACACTTCTTTTTCTCATATTGGCTGCATTTAATTGAGCCAAAGTTTCAGCTAATGTTGCTTTCGTTCTAGCTAGTTTTTGTTTTAGAGTCATATTTTCTTCATAAAGAGAACCTAAAACAGATTACCAAATAAATTTAAAATATCTGTATTTTTGCATAACTATTTAACAAACTGGTTTTGGTAAAAATTGGATATTTTGATTAAAAACGGTATTGTAAAATTAAGCATTACATTATCATTTTCTAGACTAAGTTATTATTTCCAGAATCAATTAAACCATAGCAAAACTTTACATAGGTTAACTCATACATAACAATCGTCGATTTGTACAAATCTTTTTCATGTAAAACGACTTTGACGTTCAAAAATTATAAAATTATATAATTAAGGTTTATGATTAAAGCTTGCGATAAAAAAATAATACTTACGAGGTGATAAAGACACTGTATCATTTTGTTCTAGACTTGATAGTCTGTCGCTGTCAATCCCTTGATCTGGAGATGTAGGGCGATCTCTTTCAAATGGTTGATCAACATTCACTAGAGCAACTTTTACGTCGGCATCTGCAGCAATCCGGCGAGTGACTTCAATTTGTAATTGAGCATTTACTTCCTGTGTATTAGCCAATTTTTCACGTGTCTCTTCCAATTCTTTTTCAACTCTTAATCTATCATGTTGAGCTCGAGCTCTCTCTAAAGCAGCCTGAGATGCTTGTACGGTAGCTTCATCAGCAGCACGCCTTAATGAACGTTCAATTTCTAAATGAGAAGCTTCTAATTCTTGTCTCTCTGAACGTAGTTTTCCTATTGTTTGTACAGCTTCTGTGAACTGTCCTTCAATATCTCGTATTCTAGACTCCATTGATTGAATGGTATTTTTCATCGTGTCTATGGATTTGTTGGCTTCTTCAATGTTCTTATGTTCAGATGATAAAATAGATTTTAATTCATTTTTCTCTAAAAGAAGATTGTCTATTTGTTTTTGTGCAAAATCTAATTTACTGTTTAAGTCATGATTCTCTTCTGTAAGTAAATCATTTTGTTTCGTAAGCTGACTGATTTCTTCGAAAAATGCTGTTTCATTAATATTTTTATTATCTTCAGAACGTGAGCCATATGAAACACGGGACCGTCTGTTGCGGTACTTATTGATTTCAAAAGTAGATTCTCTTGCTGCCACACCAGTGTCACAAAGACCAACTCGAGCAAGCGACACGTTTCTATCTGGTTCTGACCAACATTCAGATTCTGACATGACATCGGCTTGCGGAAAAAATTTAGGATGTAAAGGTTTCGTACTAAACCGCCTATTATTTTCGTCGCTGCAAGTCACATGATGTCCAAACATCATTGTTAAGTCCTCAATCCTCAATGACTGTGAAATATCCATATTACTTTCATCCATTGTTAAATCTCCGGGTGCCACTGACTCGTCTAGTTTGAGTCCTACGGGTAAAGCTAAACTTTGTTCTAAGATACTTTCTGCCAATTTCTTTTTATCTTCTCCTAATACACACCTAATGATAAAAATATTATTTGTTAAATTAACTTAAAATAATGACACAAGCTCAAACAAACATATATATATACATATACTTACTTATGCGAAAGAAGTTTATCTAAAAAGTATGCTAATCCTTGCAAGCGCCGAGTCAACAGTTGCTGTAAGTTTCTGAAAAAATAAACGGTATAAATCAAAGACATCATTTGGTACACACTTATCTTCTTTATTATTACATATTTAAATTAGTTACGTGTATTGCCGGGGAATAGTTATATTAAACTCTTATTCCCTGGCTTAGGTAGACATTAAATACACTTCTTTCAAAAAAGAAAGGTAAGGTATCTTTAAATGCAAAGTAGCACTGTCAAACCCGAGTAATATGGTGCATCGTGATTTTTTATTAGCGCAGGTCAGACCAAACGTATTATTAAAATCTCAGTCTTATTTTAATGATCATAAGTTACAAAATGCAAAGCACAAGGTTTCAGTTTTTATTACGAGCGCTATTAGAATCATTCGTCATGAAAGTTATATTTGAGGCAGTTCTGGAAAATTTATAAACTAAATTCATTAAACAAATTTTTGAAACATTGAATAACAGGTCTTGTTTAAATTAATTTTGTTAATTTAATATCCCATAGCAAGTAAACTGCAGACAAAAGTTAAATGTTTTTTAATGCTTAACTTACCCAGTAGCATCCTCGTTTTGAATACTTTCTACATTTTTCTGCAACTCTCTTATTTTGTTTTCCAGATCTTTGATGTGTTCGTCTTTACATTTTAGAATCTCTTCATATTTTTCCATTTGAGAATCGCTTACATGCGCATAAGCTAATTCTTTATTCTAAAATTAAGAATAGTATTAACAACCCGTTTACAATATACTATCCACATAAACATAACTACGGAAACATACCAATTTCAATTTCTTTATTTCTTTGTCTTGTTGTTGTATTTTTTTCATACATCCTTTGATCATCTGCAAAGCCTTGCGATTTTCCTTTCTTAGTTTTAGAAGTTCGTCCTGAAAAAGTAAACAACATGAAATAAAAAGAATTGTTATCTAAAATTATTAAAAATAAAAGCTGATAATAATAATTTATACATCATTTCGCTATAACATAAGTCGCTTTTAATATAATGAATTCATCAAATACTACGAGAATCTTTGTCTTGACATGGGGTGGGGTGGACAATGAGGTAAAATTGAATAGATGAAATTAAATATATTTGAATAGGTTTTTGTTTTTAAACTTATAGCAGTGAAAGTTGATATTTAAGTAGTTATAAGTGGTTATAGATATTGCTATTTTAGCATCATCAGAATACCTTAAAATTGTATGGTCTACAGTGGCGTAGCTAGGTAACCTAGGGCCCTGGGGCAAATAAAAAAAATGGGGCCCACTGCTATCAAAACTGGTAAGGTTTTTTGAAGTAAAATCATTAAATATACAAATACTTTAAAAATGCTAAGCAACTTTATCATTAGCTCTTTTTCGTGCATGGGCAAGTAATAAAACTATTAAACACTAACAACATAAATTAGGTATTGGGCAATTAAACGAAATAGAAAAGATTCAAGGGTTTATTATATATTTATTTATTCATAGATACGTTGCACCAGCTTACTGTTGTTTAACCTATCGCCATGCAAGCTACATATTTACAAAAATTATCAATTGATATATTTTGTCCAGAAGTACTTGCAGAAGGCTGACTAAAAAACTTGTCAATTTTGGGCAATTTTTGTTTACTTTCTTCTCTTTCTTGGCGTTTAAATGCACCACTGGATTTTTTTGTCCTGTTTTCTAATTTATTTATGTTTGTACATAAATAAATTAGAAAAATTGTACTCCAGTATGTACTCACTGTTCACTGACAACGTTACAAGTAAAAGGAAAGCGAAACGTAATGATACGATACAAGACACCGTTGGGGAATCCCCGGCAAACATTTTATCGCTGCCAGCGTTACCACATTTGACGGTTTAAAAAATGACAAAAAAACATCACGTAATTAATGGACGGCCCCCAACCGCATGTGACTTGTATTTTGCACGGTATTTAAGTTATATAACATAGTTATATAACGGTGAGTTATATAACTATGTATACATACTTTAATCAAATGAAATTGAACTTTTGTATGGACCAGTACAAAAAATTTATTGACATACGCTTACTTACTCCTGATACATTAACTTTTTAATCACAATCGCGAATCACAAAAAACGCATATCGATAAATAATAATATGCAGATATTGATATCCGACAAATTGATGAAAACATTAATAACACTGTCAACCTACACAAATAATTTAGGGGAATTCCCTTTTTATAACTTTGGAATTTCTCACAATTGAGTTGCCATGATTAAACTCGAGTTGTCACCTGTCATATTTATTTTGAAAATGGGAGAAATTTTCAAAAGTTGAGTTCGATTGAGATTTTCTGGTAAAGATTCGAGGGCCCCCTGAGCTTGAGGGCCCCGGGGCACTGCCCCACCTACCCCTTTAGTAGCTACGCCACTGATGGTCTACTAAATGTTTTCATATAACTATAACACTTGAGGTACCTAAGTATCTGGTCTGAAAACTTCATCCTATATGGCATTATGCACTTTACATGTTGCAATGAAAAAAGAAACTTGTTATTCGATATTTTGAAAAGTAGATTGACGATACGTTGTTATAGCATTCGGTCTAATATAAAATCTAAAGAAGTTAAGTAATTGTAGCAAAACCCGGACCGGTCACAGAATGGGTGACCAAAAAAAATTTATTTCGAGCTCCTTCGTACCGTGGAAGTTGAAGGCACTTAATACCGTTGGTCCTGGTTGCATCTATATGTGTTATCATTATAGTATATCAAATATAAAATTTATTAACTTTTTAGTAAGTTATAAATTACGACTTGCTCTTGTCAAGTTATTAAGATACACCTTTAAGCTATACAACAACCACTGTTCAGAAAGGTTTAGCGCTTAAATTACATTTATTATTAATCATATTTTTGATTAAAAATGTGAAATCCACACACTCACCAATTCTTCATTATTCACAGTAACTCCAAGATAATCTCTGAAATGCAATAAATAGGTATGTTAATAATAATTTTGCCTTACTATCGTTGATAGCAGTATTATGTACTATCATAATACTTTTTTATTTTTTATATTTCATGACAAAGAAAGAAGACTTACCCTGCCGATTCAGATTCTACACAAGTATCGTCAATGATCTTTTTTTCTTCGGATTCCTGCAAATTATAGGTTGTGTTGTTATTATATAGGTTATATATATAAAGTCATGCATTTGCATATGGCTTCATCCATTTTTTGCATAAGATGAATGGCTCCTCTATGTTTTATTTATCTGACAAGGGGGAGGTAGGGAATCTTAATAGTTCTTACGTAAAATCACAAAAGCCACCACAGTTAAGATTATTGATCTAAAGGAAAAATAAACAAAAAAATATTTTTATTCGTATTTTCCTTTTGATCTATCTTATTCTATACTAATATTATAAAGAGGTAAAGTTTCTAACTTTGTTTGCTTCTTCGAAAATACTGATGCGATGGTGAAAACTGTTTCACCACAGAAAGGTATATCATCATATGCAGGTGACATAGAGCAATAATTAAGACTGGCGCAGTCGCAGAAAAACAACTACTACGTAATAATTATCAAACAGGGACGAGGGAGAAATGACTTTTACTTTTTCTTACATAGAGAAGCGTTCAAAAACTGCCAAGTACCGTCTAACGTAATAAATGGAGGATCCCTAAGGCCTAAGCTAGTATTTTAGTCTACTCGCTACTAGACTAAAATACTAGCTTAATGCGAACTAGGCTTAAGGTACATAAATATATATATTCTATGTTTATTTACCTGATGATGATTATTTTCATTTTTAGTTTGAACATTATTACTCAGAGATAAATCTACGCTATCAGTTGACATTGAACCCTGAAAATATAATGTAATAATTAGGCAACTATTACAATTGGAATATATTAATATATGTGTTACCGTAAATGTATGAAACCTAAGAAATATATACAATTTCTAGGAAATGTATAAAATCCCGATGTTATTTAGGAAATGTTTAAAATGTTGTTTCAGATACTTTTGGAATATACGGGGAAATATATAGGATTGTAAGAAGCACAAGGAAGTGTATAAAACAAATTCTTAAATCAGAGTTATCTATGAATAGAATATAAGAATCACATGTATTAAACTGAGAACCACAAAGGCTCTTGTTGAGACAGCCAGATAACAATCATACCTTAAAATATAAAATCTGTTTTAATGATAACACAAAAATGTAATATCATATAAACTACTTTTATATACTCACTAGCTTCTGTCCGTGACTTCGTCCGTGTGGTATAGTTACTTTGGGAAGCATTTCCAAAAACGGTTAAACAAATATTTGTTAATTATATTGTATAAAATACCTGAATATAAAGTTTCATAATTTTGTTTTATACAATGGGGAACTTCCATACTTTCCTTTGATTCCCTATTTCAACCCTTTTATCACAGTTAGGGATGCAACGATATATCGACATTGAAGAAACAGCGACATCGATATCGAAACTTGTCAAAATTTTAACATCCCATGAAGATGAAGATGACGATCTTCATATGTGAAACCCTGATTTTTGTTCTAATTTGTAATAACTTTTTATTATTTTAATTTGAATTAATTTTAAAATAAAGTGTTATTCCCTATTTTATCGCTGTCTATTTAAAGTGACAATAAGACATTTTCCTATTGTGATCAGGAGCATGCCTTCTGAACGAAATATAAGGTCGAGGAATACATGATCTACACCAAACATCACGTTTCTCTGGAGACAGGTGACTATTCGGTTTAACAAAACGCTCTCAAGTTCGTTTTGCTACGCGTAGGACACAACATTCCACAAAGTAGGAACAGGCTTAGTAGGCTGGTAGTAGCCACTACCAATTATTGGCCAATTACTTTTAAATACCTTGAATATTAAACGTATTTTGTTTCCACAAGGTTTTTACAAACAAGATTTTTATATTTATTTATGATCGAAAAAAATATATCGATATATCGGCATTGTGAAGCGATATATCGATATCGACTGTAACCGATATATATCGAACTCGATATATCGATATTTTTATGAAACTTGCATCTTTAATCACAATATAAAATAACTTGTGTCCTATCTCAAGTCAACTCCGCTTATAGCCTGATACAAATACGAGAAAAACGGAAATAATTCGATATAAGCCTGGAATATTTTTAATCGAGTTTGTGAGCCAATTACAAGAGACTATATTTAAGAATCCATCTCATTTTAGCTACGGAAGGTATTAAAAAAACATCAGGTTAAAAAACCTTCATTTATTCACGCAAAATTACTAACACGATTTTTTTCACAAATTTTGGTTTTATTTATCATAGCGACAATGAAAATTACTGAAACCCAACTAAAAAAATTACAGGAAATAGTGATTTTTATTAAACTTTATTTTTTACTTAATTTTTTTTTGTTGTATTTTAATATAATAAAACTTTTATTTCAGAGTGGATTTTAATGATATTTAGTTGAATATGTGTTTCACTCAAAAGTCTGCTGCATATATTGCGTGTTATATACCAATATTCCTCGGGAATATTGGTATGCAATATTCCCATGGAAATTTTCATTGGATTTAAAACAAAATATACTTAACGCAATATAGTAATATCGATTAAAGTCGTATTTCATTGTTAATATTATTGATTTTTTTACAAATAATTTTTAAATATTTATTGTCCGTGTTATATAAAAATATGAATTTCCAAATATAATATTAGGAAGATTTATGTATTTTATGGAAGTAACATAAGTAACAGTGTGAAAATACGTAGAAGTCACTTTATATGTATTTTGCTTATCAAGCCATTGAAAAATTAAAGGAATTTTATTTTTTTTACTAATAATCCGAAAGAAAATATCGTTGGATTAATTCATATATTAAAAAGGAAATATATTATACCCTCATAATAAAAAAAAAACAGCTGTTATGTTTTAATGTTTGATCTCCATACTGAAAGTTGATATTTGTATCAGGCTATTAGTGGTTTAGGCGTGAGGATGTAATTAGACATATGCACAGAATTGCTTTCGAATGCATAATAATATTAGTATGGAATAATTAAACGATTCTGCTCATTACAACATATAATAAAATATTACCAGACAGACACCAATATTAATCACATTCGGTCGAGTTTGAATAGAGAAGATTTTGTGTGAAATAATGAAAAAATATTGAGGTATTTATGACTTATGAAACACAAATATTCGTCTTTGGCGACTATATATCCGTTCTTCGATATATCCCTGCATCCCTAACTGTGATAAAAAATTAAAATAGGGAATCAAAGGAGAGTATGTAAGTTCCCTATTGTCTTAGATAAAATTATGAAACTTTATATTCAGGTATTTTACATGATATAATTAATAAATATTTGTTTAAGTGTTTTTGGAAATCTTTTCCAAAAGTCACTATACCACGCGGACGAAGTCGCGGGCACAAGCTAGTGTATATAAATAATTTGACATCTGAAATGTAATAGGTATATTTCGTGTGTGATTTATGAAATGTATAGATTTCCTAAGAAATACGTCTAAAATCATTTATTTCACAGACTACCGGGTGATTTTAGAAATTATTTACGTTTCTAAGGAACGGTTTACAATGAGGAATTATTTCATTATGCATACAAAAAAAAATTAAGACTTTAATAAAAGGAATTACCTGTTGTTCCAATACGTCTATAGCTTCAGCGGCTGCAGCAAGTAATTCTTGTTTATCGGTGAGTTGTCTGCGTAGTTCTTCTACTTCTACTTGTAATCTTACATTATGTTCCAATAAACCCTTAAATCAAAAATATATGGATTCAACTGAAGTACTTATTAGAATTTCATTACTTAACTTATGTTAGCCAAGATAAAAAGAACGACCCGTGAAACAGAAATTGAATATTAAGGAATATATAAATGTCAAAGCTATGACTAGTCTTAGATAAAGGTGGTTACACCCCTGGTGTGTAGTAGGTATATTATCAAAGTCGAAAATAAAAATTTCGTTGCCAGTGCTTACTTGAACAGCAGGGGGTGATCCACTGCCTAATTTTTCTTCTAAGAAATAAATTCGTAGTTTCAAATGAAAATTTTCTTTGCGTAGCCCATTTAACTGCTCTTCGTATTGCTTCATACTTATGCCGCTAGCGTTCGTAACGTCTGAAAGTAATAATATTAAAAAATGATTTTGGTCTTCATTAAATACATACATTTGACATAATATAATAATACCCACCGTGGCCGTCAGGTGTTGGTAACGCCATTTCCTGCAGTTTTCTAGGACTTGTACTGAAACATAGTAAACGCAATGAACAATGAATTGATTTTATAATGTAACGTAAGATATATTAAACACATTATATATATATTCAAATATATATAGATAGATAAATAAATATATAATATATATAAGTATTACACAATATCACATCCCATACGTTCAGATCCCAAATTAAGAAGCTAAAACACTTGTTTTTGGATAATCTGAAACAAGGTACGAAAACAGTCACACCAGAGACAATATAGAAAAGTCAATTTTTGCTAAATTGACACGTCCGGGAATCGAACCCGGAACCTCTGACGCGACACTTGAAACCGCTGTCCTACCGTGCCGCTAAACTACGAAGTTGAGCCATCTTTTATTTGTTTAAGAATGATTTTTCACCCTGTTCCTAATTAATACCAAAAAATGTATAAAGATATACCTATGTTTTCTTAGTCATCAATTACCTAAATAATGGACAGATATGTCACCAATAATAATTTGTTAAATTAATATTTTGGAACGTCAACATTTATATTCAACAGTAGATATTAGGTAAGGAATGTCAAAGAGGACATGGGACATGGTACAGCCATACCTGGCAGTGAACACTATTATGTCTCACTATATTGTCCCTAGCATTCTTTATTAAGCATTTTTCTGATTTTTCAAGTATTTTCCATTAAAAATATTTTTCAGTATAGCATTCTGAATGTTAAATTGATCAAATATAATAATAATAATAAGAACAAAGTTTAATCTTTATCGAAAATTTAAATAAATATATATGTAAAAAAAATATTTTTGTCTCGTTTAGGTGGATTGCCTGAACATTGATGACAATACGCTCTGTAGTAGCGAAAAAAGTAACAAACGCTAGAAAAATTTGTAAGTCCTGTTAGGTCTTGGATAGCTCAGTGGTTAGAGCAGGCGCACGAATTGTGAAAGGTCATCGGTTAGAGTTCCATCTCAGAGTGCTAGGGACAAACTGGATTTTTTAAACATTTTTCATTAAGAAGAAGAAAAGTTCTAAAACATCCAGTAAACAAATGACAAATTCATGGTAGCGTGTGTAAGTTTTTATAGGTATATAATATAGATTTTTACTACTCTATGTTGTAGAATGTTAATGTTTTCAATTGTTTAAAGAAATAATACCTCTCTCTCGCTCTCTTCTCCATATTAACTTTAAACTGTGCAGAAATATTTAAGGAATGGGTGTTTCATTTTATTAACAGAAGAAAAAAAATTAACAGATTTGGTTTCAATAAATAACGACATCTAGTACCTATACTTAGGGATGACTGTTATAATTTGTAAGCCCCTCATTTCTACTTTTTGTTATAGTAACACAAGTAAAATTGAGGGGTCCAAATTTATCTTTGCATGTTAAAGTAAATATAATAAGTTCTTACCTAAATGGAGAGGATACATTATAAGTTCCCTGCTTCGAACTATGCACTCTCGGTAAAGTTGCCATAATAATTCCACGATATGAATAGACTATTTTTGGAACATCACAACATGTATCACTATGGTTGTTTTAATAACAAATGACATAAATCAGGAGTGTCACTTATTACACTTTGTAATAGAGGCGAATTATGGTTAAAATAAATAACATCAATAACATTTACAATTAGATGCACTTCACAATAAACACATGCAACAATAAGTGGTTTATCAGTACTAAGAATGATATTAACGTTTTCAGTCATTAGTAAACGATCTCGTGTTATTTTATCACGAATCGTGTGAAGACTGACGATTTTAGGAGGGCGATAGTTCGTGCAGCTCGTACGGAGGTTTGGAGTAACCGGTAGTGATACAGGAATAGAGCATATTTTTGTATGAATCCTTGTGATAAAATGGGGCGCGATGACAGAGAAATAAAATGGTTAGAAAGAGATACGAAGATTGTAGACGGATGCTGTTCGCTGCACAATATACAGAAATAGAAGAGCGGCGCCATTAGGGACTGCTTTGCTCCATATTTTTAATTTGTGTTACTTCCTATTTAAAAATAATCACATTCAAATGGTGAACAAATTCGCAAAGTTAATAAAATATAAACGACTTAAAAACTGACCCCTTTAATTAATTAATAATTCCGAATGAAATACGTTCTTGCAATAATTAATTAAACTCATACTTAATTAAAAAATCTCTTGGGTAGTCTAAAACATATAACTTGAAGTGATTGGTAGTGTAAGAAAAGTATAAAAAAAAACTTTTCAAACATTATTTCTGATCAGAAATCTTGGTGCCAAAGACAAACTGAAAAACTCTGTAATATGAGCCAATGTTTTTTCGACGATAAAGTAATGGTGGTTATATCAGCCTTATTTTTTGCCCCTATCATAATTTACCTATCTAAAGAGGAAGGTAATTCGCTTCTTAAAAATTATTACCAATTAAGAGCGTCGTTGTTGTTTATCAAAAATTCCATCAATCAATGAGAACCTATTAAGGTATAAAGAAAGAAAAGTAGTACCCACCCACAGTTCCTAATAATTTTGAAAAAAAAATATAAATTTAAAAATAATAATATCTACCCCATCATTATCATCACTTACTAAATAATAAATTTGTAAACCAATTCTTTAATTCATACTTGGATGATTTTTCTGATCCAATTGTTGGAAAAATAATTAATATACATACACCACATCAATCCTACACTCCATTTTTTCCCTGGCGCTCTGTGATGGGTCAGCCAGATATACAGATGGGCGCCTGGGAAAACTGTATTTTTTAAGCATTTTCCATTGAGAATATTTTAATTATAATTTAAAATTAATCAAATATAATACTTAATGATATTTTGTGAATATATAAAAGACTTTCTTAAACAAATATGTATGAATGTGTAAAAAAATCGGAACTTTATCAATGAAAAGTAAACAACATTTTTATAGATTTTCGAAGTTTAAACATAGACCATTTGATAGAACACTACAAATATTACAAAGCACATAACGATCTACTTTACAATCATCTCTTTATAATTTAGAAACCATAAAAAAATATTGACAATAATTTTCATTTTCACCTGAAGGCCTATTGAAATTTAACGAAAACAAAATGTGTTTTTTTCTGTCGAAGTGTTACTTTACACGACTCCAAAGAAACTATTTTTTCTATTTTTTCTATCTTTTTTATATAAACTATTATGATGCACCGAGGTAGAACCTGGCACAGCCTCAGATGCTTTTATAGCCTCAGATAATCTTCACGAATATGATTTTAACGAAAAGAACAATTCAAAATTCGTTGGAGAACAAATAGTATAGGGCCTCAGGTGTCATATATAAATCATACGAGTCAAATATTACTAAGAAAAAACAAAACTGCGCGAAATTTATCGCGCATAAGGGTTTCAAATTCAGTGTTACAAACATTTTATCTATTTGTAACATTAATCCTTCGCCTTACTAGATTCATCTCTTATGATGTTTCTCTATCTGTACCAGTCCTTAGACGTTTCCGACCCATAGATGGAATTATGAAAAAGATAAGAGAAAACTATAGACTTCATCAATTTGATTTTGTCTATCGGGTTATGTTGAGGTGCTTTCATAATTCTCTAATAGGGTATTACCTACTGCCTTCAATTTTCAAAAGCGTCTCACTGCGATCCTAATTCTGAGGGAACCGGGATCCCATTTCTGGGATAAAATCAGAAACAGGAGCACAGGTTTCCCGTTAGCGGACATAAAATGTTTTACTGGTCATTCTAGGGACATATGGCTTTGCAACTCCTTTCTCATTCTTCATGCACACATTTAATTTACTTTTATTTTATAATTGTATTCATTTCCCTTTGATGTATGTGAGTTTGTGATGCCAATAAACCACTTTATATATCTATCTTTCTTTGATTATATTTTATGCACTCATATGTAGTTATTTTATTATAATTTAAAATACAATTATGTAACATGGTCAAGATATAGTAAACAATGATGTTTTATAATTAGATGAGAAGGTATTATATATATATATATATATATTTTTTATAAAATTAAGCTTACTTTTTTTATGGGATAGGGGGCAGACAAACAGACGGATCACCTGATGGTAAGTGATTACCGTCGCCCATGGACACCTACAACACCAGAGGGGCTACAAGCGCGCTGCCGGCCTTTGAGGAACGAATATTCTCTACGCTTGAAAAGTTTGAAGGTCGTATCGGTCCGGAAATACCGCTGGCGACTAACTGTTCCAGAGTTTGACTGTGCGAGGCAGTAAACTTCTAGAAAAACGCACAGTTGAGGACTTCCAACCATCCAAATGATGGGCGTGGATTACTTGTCGCGTGGAACGATGGCGGAAAGTAGCGGCAGGTACGAATCCGAACAATTCCTAGGAGCATTCCCCGTAATAGATGCGATAGAAGATGCAGAGTGAAGCAACATCTCTACACAGGGCCAGTGGATCAAGCCGACTTGAAGTGTCCCGGCAATCGACGATTCGAGTCGCTCTCTGCTGAATGCGGTCTAGAGGAAAAATCTGATATTGGGGTGCTCTGCCTAAAGATGTGAACAGTACTCCATATGGGGCCGAACTTGCGCCTTATAAAGCTGCAGGCGATGTGCTGGAGTGAAATACTGCCTCGATCTATTAAGCACACCAACCTTCTTAGATGCTAATTTAGCCTTATCCTCTAAGTGACCACAGAACTGGACCTCGCTCGATATGTCGACACCAAGAATCTCAATATTAGCTGAGGCAGTTAGGGGAATGTTTTGAAAGCGAGGTGATACGACAAATGGGTTTTTTTTGGCGGTGAACGCGCAAACCTGTCTTAGTAGGGTTGAAATGGACCAAATTAAGTCGACCCCAGTTAGAGACTTCCTCTAACGAAGAATCAATAACAGACACAAGTTGTTTCCGGCTCTCAATGACGCTTTTCCAAGAAATACCTGCACGACCGTTATAGAAGGAGTCCATCGTGCTGTCATCCGCATAACAATGAATACCGCTAATTTGCAGCATGTCATTAATATGCAGAAAAAAAGTGTAGGCGATAGCACACAACCTTGGGGAACACCAGCTTTAATAGACAGTAGGTCTGAGCATTCACCGTCGATTAAAACCTTAATGCTTCTGTCTGCCAAAAAACTACTGATCCATGCACATAATTTCTCGGGAAGCCCCATACGAGGGAAGTTTTGATAGAAGAGCTTTGTGCCGCACTCGGCCTCCCCCTTTGTTTCAATTGCCTTAGCCCAGTTATGTGTCAAGTAAATTGGAATATCGCCAGCAAAGCGACCACTACGAAATCCGTATTGTTGGTCACTAAGCAACTGGTGATTTTCTAGGTACCGAAGGAGCTGGCGGTTGATAATGGACTCCATTATCTTTGAAAGCAAAGGGGTTATAGCGATCGGCCTGTAGTTGGACAGGTTCGAGCGGTCACTTTTTTTTGTTATCGGATGCACTAAAGCTGTCTTCCATGAGGTTGGGACGATGCCAGATGAGTAAGAGAGACGGAATAGGCGCGTTAAGACCGGTGCCAACTCTGGAGCGCACGTCCTTAGCACAATAGGGGGGTTACCATCGGGCCCACTCGACTTGTGGATATCCAGGGAGAGTAGCGCTAGACGCACTAAGCTTTGGTGAAACCGGATATCAGGCATAGAGCTCTTGCACCGTGGAATGGCGGGCGGTTTCAGCCCCCGGTCATCCAAAGTTGAGTTGGATGCAAAAAAGTTACCCAGGAGATCGGCTTTCTCTTTTGCATCAGGGGCTATTGAAAAGTTATCTTTGTGCAAGGGTGGAAATGAAGGCGTGCAGAAATTACCTTGAATAGATTTGGCAAGAGACCAGAAAGCACGCGTCCCCGAAGGAAGACATTCAAGCTTCTTGCCAATTCTACTGATATGCTTCACTTTCGCTCTTGCAATGTCTCTTTTGAAGTATCTGGAGGAAAAATTGTATTGCTTTTTCAGGGCGCTGGTATTTACATCCCGCGACAATACTACATTTGCCCAGGCTTGGTACGATTCCCGCTTTCGACGAGAAGCCTTTCTCGAGAACTGACCAAACCAAGGTTGGAATCTGCCACCAAGAGGGACAACCGAGGATAGTATGAAAGTTTCCATACCCTGAAGCACCACATCAGCAACAGACTCGGTGGCGTTGTTGGGATCATCCGGCGTAAAGCAGATGCGTTTCCAAGGGTAGGACGCAAAAAAGGACAGCAACCCATCCCAGTCTGCCGACTTGTAATGCCACACACGGCGACTACGTGCAACACGTGGTCGTTGCAAGCACGTGAGTGGTACTATACTTCTAATAAGGCAGTGGTCTGATGAGCCAAGTGAAGCGTCAACGGATATGAAGTAGCCGTCGGGATGGGAGGTTAACAAAAGATCCAACAATGAAGGATCATGACTCTCGACATCTGGGATTCGCGTAGGCGTAGTAACCAGTTGTGTCAAGTCCTGTGCAAGAGCAAAGGCGTGAACAGATCTCCCCGCGTGATCGGTCTTGCTAGAACCAAGCCATTCGGTACGATGAGCGTTAAAATCGCCAAGTACCACGATCTCTGCAAGTTGGATCTGCTGCTGCATAGAGTCTGCAGCCATTAGGACGTGCGTACACACATACACCGGCCTTTGATGCGAAAGTGTGCTCCAGTCCGTACTTAGGTTAGGACAGGTAAGAATTGTCCGCCGGAGACGATATCTGCGTCTCGGTCAAAAAGAGTAAGGCCGGCTTTGCTGTTTCCAGGTGGTGATGGACAGCGTTTAGGTTT